TTTTCTGGTACTTGAAGAAGGGCACACTGCTCGGAATGAGCAAAGCCTTGTCTGGAAAGCTTTGAAAAAAGTTGAAACAGAGAAGCGCATAGTTTTGTCTGGGACTCCTTTCCAGAATAACATCAAGGAGTTATACAACACTCTCTGTGTAGTCAGTCCAAAGTTTGCTGCAGATTTGGAGCAGAAATGGGCTTCTCTTAGCAGTTCCATCGACAAGAATGCCCGAGCATTGGAAGAGCTTAGGGACATTATTTCACCACTAGTCCATAAGTGTAGTGAAAATGTAAAGAAGGTAAGCCTTCCGGGTATAAGGGACACTGTAGTTCACCTGAAACCGACAGATTTGCAGAAGGAGTTGCTTAGAAGGATTCCTGAGAATCCAAGCTCCTTTTATGAACAAAATCTGGTGTCTCTTATCTCTGTTCATCCTTCATTAGTGGCCAATAGGAAGGAGTTCTCTGACTTAGAAAGTCAGCTAAAAGAGAGAGGTTGTCGGTCGGATCCAGATACCGGAGTAAAAATGAAATTTGTTGTTGAGCTTATCAGACTTTGCGGTGGGATGAAGGAGAGGGTTATAATATTTAGCCAACTACTTGATCCTCTAAACCTGATCAAGGAGCAACTCAGTTCTCTCTTTGTATGGACTTTAGGCCGGGAGATTCTCTACATGGATGGGAAGCTTGATGTGAAGCAGCGGCAGATATCTATAAATTCTCTTAATGACCGTAAGAGTGATGTAAAAGTGCTGCTTGCATCCATAAAAGCGTGTTCAGAAGGAATAAGTCTGATAGGGGCCTCAAGAGTGGTTTTGCTTGACGTGCTCTGGAATCCCTCAGTAGAAGAGCAAGCCATCAGTCGAGCTTACAGGAATGGGCAGACCAAATTTGTGCATGTTTACTGTCCAGTAACATCAAAATGGGAGGTTGACAAGATTGAACAGCAGACGAGAAAGAAGTACCATTCAGATGTTCTTTTGTCTAGGAATCATGAAGCCAAGATGGATCCTTCATGTTGTGAGTCAGAGGATACCATACTAGAATCCATGTTTGAGCATGAGGGCCTCCGTCATATTTTTGAAAAGCTCTCTCATGCACCACGTGTGCTGCCGCCTACTACATGCCTTGATTCTTGTAACCAACCTCCAAAACCAAGCAGTTAGGTTAGTATGTGTTTAATTTCGTGTATTTTGCTTACTGCCTGTCTTTGAAAAATGGTTCAAATGTTTTATCTCTTTCTTATCAGATCAGTTGGAGCATGTTTTTGGGTACTTGTTAGAGGAATTTTTGAAGCCATCCATCATTACAGGTACACTAGAAATAGGTTTGACATACTTTGGATTTGTCACGAGCTTCCAAGTTTGATTTCGTTCTAGTGCATAGCAATTTCCTCCTCCATATAGCTTTAAACCACTTCAGATTGTGATATGCTTTTGCGGAACTCTCTGGTTCTCTTTCATTTAGTTCTGGTTATTGTTGACCTCCTAAGTGGGAAATGACAATCTTTGGCCATTGTATCACTTCCCTTCCGCGACTTTGATTCTTCCAACCACCCTCGATCTCCTCCTGTGCTCCCTTTGCCTTGACAATATCCAATGCTAGATTGCGTACAATAGACCCTTATGTACAACATCCTATGCACCGGGCTGCCCTTTCATCAACACTTAACCAAGTAATTACTGCTATAAGTTTCATTAACACTACTATATTGCAAATGAACTGTTTATACTGAATAAAGACATCACAAATGCCGCGTTTTTAGACTATTTTTTTGTAACATTTTTATCTTTTACTTATTCTTTTCCTTCTGATTTCAGGTACTTTGATGCAGATTCACATGAAGAATGCAAATAAGATTAGGATTTTCATCACCCACAAGATGTTATTGTAACTGCAAAAATATTGCTTCATGTCTATTTATATTATGATTTTGATGGTATAAAAATATTAACTTCTCATAATTTTGAATGTATAGTAACTACTTATGATTAGCTATTATTATTTTAGTTAGTTTATGGAAATAATGTTAATACCTTCATTAAAGTAAGTATATGCAGCAGAACCCTCAGTTTGATTAGCTAGGTATGTCATCCGTTGGAAAAATTCTTTTTCGGTATCTACATTAGAGTCCAACTAATTCGGATTCGCATCACGTAAATCTCATTTATATATATATATATATAAAAAAAAACTTAAATGGATAATGAAATCTTTAAATTCCGACCAACTCAAAATCATATCTAAACAGTCAAAGAATTAGACATGAGATACTCAATATTTTATGTCTTTCTTTCTCAGCTCAATTAATGTTCAGCATAAAATGAAAAAATAATTATATTAAAAAATATAATACAAGTAAAATTAAATTGAAATTGTAATATCATAATTGCAAAAATAGATGGAAAAAGACTAAAACTTACACATAAATTGCATTCGTTGAATGTGTTTTATGCATTTCTTAGAAGAAGGGATAATAATGTAATTTCATCAATAAAAAACCAAGACACTGAGACTTACCCCCATAACTCGCATTCGTTAAATGCGTTTTACGCCTTTCTTCACCAACTCAATTAATGTTGAATATTAAATGAAAAAATTTTCTATTCTCGACATAATAACAGTAATCAATTAAATAAATAAATAAATTCAAAAAATATTGGAAAAATAAAGTTAAACAGAACGGGTAATATCGTAATTTCAACAATAAATGGAAAAAGATTGAAACTTACTCATAAATTGCATTCGTTGAATGTGTTTTATGCCTTTCTTGACAGAAGCAGTAATAACGTAATTTCTTCAATAAAAGATCAAGACACTGAAACTTACACATAAATCACATTTGAAATGCATTTTATGTCTTTCTTAACAGAAGGGGTAATAACGTATATTCATCAATAAGAAAAATCAGGACATTTGAACTCACGCATAAATTGCATTCGTTGAATGAGTTTTATGTCTTTCTTTCTCATCTCAATTAATGTCAAGTATTGCATAAATAATAATTATCTTTCTCTATATGATAAAAGTAATAAATGAATAAAACAAACATATTCAAAAAATATTGGACAAATAAAATTAAACAGAAAGGGTAGCATAGTAACTATAACAATAGATGAAAAAAAAGTGAAACTTAAACATAAATTGTATTCGTGGAATGTGATTCATGCGATTCTCAATAGAAGGGGTAATAATATAATTTCATCGATATAAAACCAAGACACTGAGACTTACCCATAACTCGCATTGGTTGAATGCGTTTTACGCCTTTCTTTCTCATTTTTATTTAATGTAGAATATCAAATTAAAAAATAATTATTTTCTCGATATTATAAAAGTAATTAATAAAATAAATAAGTTTATTCAGAAAATATTGAACAAATAAAATTAACCGGAGGGTAATATTGTAATTTTAACGAAAATGAAAAAATATTGAAACTTACACATAAATTGCATTTGTTGAATGCGTTTTATTACCTATATTAACATAAGGGTTATAACGTAATTTCATCAAATAAAAAACGTAGACACTTAAACTTACTCATAAATCGTAATGCGTTTTATGCCTTTCTGTTTCAACTCAATTAATAATGAGTATAAAGTAAAAAAAGGTTTTCTTTCTCGATATGATAAAAGTAATAAATTAAATAATAAATATATTCAAACAATATTGATCAAATAAAATTAACCAGAACGGTTGATATCATAATTTCAACAATAAATGAAAAAAGACTGAAACTTACACATAAACCACATTTGTTGAGTGTGTTTTATGTATTTAGGAGAAAATTGTGAATTTTATGAAAATGTCGAGTTCAGAATTAGGGCTAACAAAAATGAATTCTAATTACTTCTCATTATCATATACTACATACCTTAATTAGTAGGGTTCATTTTTTCCTTCTTGGTTAAAACCTCCTTCGAAGTTCAAAAATTTCACACTGTAGTAACTCCAACTCCAGAAAAATTTTCTGTATATGTATCTGTCTGTAACATCTCGCCAATTTGAATTAGTTAGGAATAACATAAAATATTCATTTTTGGAAAGAAAAGGAGAAATGTGGAAAATTTCCTTAGTTAAGAAAGTGAGCTTTGGACATTTTCAAACTATCATAACTTCTAGCTCAGGATGATTTAGAGGTAGTTATGAATATGGTTGAAAATCCCTTGGAGAGATCATTACAATACCGTCGAGTTTGCGCATTTTCGATATCGTATGAGGGAGATATGCCTATCGAAAGTTGGGTTGTTGAACTAAAAAAAAATCTAATCCAGATAAGACATAACAAACTAGTCTTTTCAAGAATTAATTTCCTTTCGTTTTAGGGATGGATTTGGGGTAAAACCAAGTTTTAGTTCAGATCAAAAAATTAAACTTTACGCTTTGGGCTTGGAGAAGAGAGAAAAAATGAAGGAAAAAGGAGGGAAGTCAAGATCGCCAACATTTTGCGAGTGGAATTTGTCGGGGGTGATCCCTATCGAGGTATGTGAGATCTTTTGTGTTGGATTAGTTCATCGACACACCAAACCTATTTTGATTTAGTGATTTTATAATTGTTTACATGTTAAGAAGTGAGTTCTTGAAGAATATGGTCGAATTCCTGTTGGTTGAGTTGTTTGAATGCCAATTGATGTTTGATTCGTAATCTCAGAGTTGATTTTCGAGTTAAATCTATCAGGTATTGAAAGTATTGATTATCCTAAGGGTTTGAGAAAATAACTATAAAGGTTTTGTGAGTGTAGTGTTGAAAAATGCGAGAGTAAGGTCGTCAACCACACCAAGGCAATACCAGGCGCGACATTTCTGAATGCACCCGAATCGGAGTTTTTCAATCAATTTTCTTAGTTTAGACTTTTTAAAGTCCTTCTAAGGTATTTTAACACTCTTTAGTGATTCTAATTACTTGAAATGATTTCTAAATACCTAGGAATCACCAAAAAATAAGCATCATAACCTTGAATTCACAATTTCATTTAAGGAAAGTTATGATTAAAGTCAAAAAAATTAAGACTTAAGTTTAGAATTTAGGAAGAAAATCAAAGCAAAGTTCTTAAAGTTTCCAGATTCTTTATTAAACGTTTTAATGCTCGTCAAGTTAAATAAAGAGTAAAGAGTTGAAGATCTTCCTTCAAAAGTTATAAGGGAACTAAGTATTCCCTAAGAGTTGAGTTCATTTCTCAAAAGCTATAAATGAACTAAGTATTTCCTAAGAGTTTATAAATGTTTTGTAACATCTCGTAACTCAAAATACCCTATAATAAGCTGAGAAACTAAAAATTTTCACTTTTGGAAAGAACAGGAAAAATCTGAAAATTTTCCTAAAGTTAAGAAAGTGAATTTTTGATCATTTACAAATGGCAATAACTTCTAGATCAGGATGAGTTGGAGTCAATTCTTTATATGGTTGGAAAGACCTTGGAAATATCTTTCCAACGGTGCCGAGTTTGCATGATTTTTATATGTTATGAGAGAAATATGTCTTTTGAAAATTGGATTGTTGAAGTAAGGGAAGTCCAATTCCGAATTTAAGTAAGGGAAAACTAGTCTTTCCACCCATATATTTCCTAATTCGTTTTAAGGGTTTATTTAGAATAAAAATAAGATTTAGTTCAGATTATAAAAGTTATTTTACGCTTAGGTCTTGGAGAAAAGAGAAGATAAGAAGGAAAAGGGGAGAAAGATAAAGAATTCGCCAGGAAAGCTAAGGTTTTGCGAGTGGAATTCGTCGGGAGTGATCCCTATCAAGGTATATGAGATCTTTTCATGTTGGGTTAGTTCACTCACACACCAACTTGTTTAATTCAGCGAATTTTGAGTATATTGAATTATGAATATTGAAGTTCGTGATGAACATTATTGAATTCTTGTTGGTTGAGTTGTAGCATGCCCAGAGTTGATTTGATTCGTGTTTCCGGGTTGTTTATCGAGTCGAATCTATTGGGTATTGAGGGTACTAATGATCCTAATATTTTGAGGGCTTAGAGATGAAACAGAGAAGAACAGTCAAAACGTCTGTCTATAGGGCCCTGGGGCGCTGCGCCTCCCATATCTTCACAGGACATTCTCTGTCCGTAGGGCCTTGGGGCATCGGGCCAACCAGGGCGCCCCAAATTGGTCTCTGAAGTTTGGGGCCTAGCGACCCACGCCTCTCAGAGCGCCAAGGATGCCTAGAGACCCCATTTATTCCCATCTTTTCATACTAGTTCCTAAGTGATATACCCATGTTTCTTAGTTTATTCCAACACTCTACGGTACATCTAAACATCATGAAATCATCCATAAACATGAGATCAAGAACATTTAATCCATAATCCAATTCAAGTAAAGTTACGATCAAAGTCAACCATCGCCTAGGCTCATACTGATGGTTGTCGGTTAAAGAATCTCTCATATAAACTATATTACTTTCATATATAAGTAAAGTTGAGTTTATTGTTGCATTTTCTTTAACGAACTAAGTTGTTTTACTGTTTTACAAAGCTTTATATATATCACATGTGTTTTTATTGTTTTATTTTAAGTTGAGTAATTCATGAGTTGAGCAGAGTCAAGGTAAGCTTCTTCTTAGTCTTTTCAAGCATAGAGTTTTTGTTTAGCATTCCAACTCGCATACTCGTACATTTAATGTACTAATTCCAATTGGTCTGTTTTATCTTATAATGCAGACGTAGGTAATCAGGATCAGCATCCAGCACCTGATTGATCTAGTTTGAGCATGCTGAGTCAGTGGTGAACCTCTTTGCATCTGGAGGACACTTTTGTTGCTTTCAATATTTTTATATATAGAATTTTAAGAGGTTTGTCACAACATTCATCTTAATATTATAGAGGATTCCTAGACAGATAGTCAATCCAATAATCAATATTGAGTCTTTTTTTAGCTTGCATTCTAG